ACAAAGCATTGAGCAGGTCCCAGCTGCAGGCCTACTGAGCTTCAGGTCCTGAAGGAGGCCTTGTGACCCAGAATTGTGCTCTGCTCAAGTCAATGTCCACAAAAGCCCTCTGTGTACACTAGAGAGCCAGAGGCAGGCTACCACACCACACTAGGAGCTGGGATCATTTTCCTGCTCCAACTTTTAAAAAGGCTGAAATAAAATATGCAGTTACTACTTTAGGCAAGAAGCAATGATAGACGTAGCCTCACAATGAGAGGACCTAGACCAACCTCACCCTAGCCCTGGCCTCCTTCTCTAACCCCAATGTTACACTTGGAGCCTTGAAATGACTCTTAAAATCTTATTCTAAACTAGAGCCCCTGAAGGCTGGATAGAGACAATCAAAACATGAATAAGAAGTGAGAGCAGACCCCAGAGGAAGAAGTGGATTTTGGACAGGAAAAGAGGGAGCTATATGTGCCTGCAGATCAAAATTCCAAACACGTGGAGAACTCATTCTAAATTCTAACATAATCTGAATCCGCTTCTAAAAATGGCAGCCAACAAAATCCACAATTGAAACATGAATTCATTACAAAAGAAATTAACCTTATAAAAAAGTCTGACAAAGTATTATAATAATGCTCAGAAAGATAAATGAGTTCATGAATGTTTTTTAGAAGAGTCAGATAATTAAAATAGGAGGCAATAAATCAGGAACAGGTAAATATTAAATGGAAACTATTAAACATCCAAACATGAAAATTATAGTGAAATTACAAAACAGATGGCATAACATTTAGAGTAGATTAATTGGCAAGTTTTCCATGTAAGTCATTTAAGTATTGCTAGCACAAGAGACTGAAAACATGAGAAATAAAACATACATGGGTTGAGAGTTTAAATTTTCCAAACTGGAAGAACTATGATTCTTTGAATTAGAAGGGAATGCTGAATTCCTAATAAAATAAATTAAAATAAATTCACAAGTAAATATTATTATAGAGAACTTGCAGAACATTATGTATAAAGAGAAAAACACCTTTTAAGTTTCCCATATATTAGTATGTTACCAAGGAAGTAAAAAATATATTAAATTGGAAGCACACTTGGCATGGTCAGTAACATGCCAGAAGTCAAGGTGGTATAAAAATATTGGTCCAGTTCTAATTGTATAATTATCTGAACTATAATTCAAGAGGGAAGGTGAAAGGAAACCATTTTCTTTCACCAGAATGAAGTGAACCCTAGCACACAAAGCAAAGTTTTCAGTTAGAAGAAAACTCAGAGGGGCCAAATTTGATACAGACAAACAGAAACAAAAATGATATGCATAGAATGTTTTATTAAAGATAGGCAAGTGTAACTATCAGCTATAGAATAATAACCTATCATGATTAAGTTTAACTATGAGCTGTAGAATAATAACTTATCATGCATATGACTTCATTTTAAAGTATAAATAATCAGCCGAAACCGGTTTGGCTCAGTGGATAGAGCGTTGGTCTGTGGACTGAAATGTCCCAGGTTTGATTCTGGTCAAGGGCATGTACATTGGTTGCGGGCACATCCCCGGTAGGGGGTGTGCAAGAGGCAACTGGTCGATGTTTCTCTCTCATCGACGTTTCTAGTTCTCTATCTCTCTCCCTTCCTCTCTGTAAAAAATCAATAAAATATATATTTTTAAAAATACAGTATAACTAATCAAATTGCCAAGAAGAGTGGTGGTGCTCACTGAGCAAGAAAACATGCTCAGATCTGTCAGCTGTATGGAAGAACAGAAACACTGAAAATATTTAGCAAACTATCCACTTATGTGTGTGTGCATGTTAAAAATAAGAGTAAATCATTAAAGAGGTAGAATTATAACCTTCCTTTACAAAGTAGCAGAAAAATTTAAAAAATGTTTCAATAATGTAAGGAAATAAAGAAAAATATGGAAGCAAAAATATATAAACTATAATGATACAAACAAATACGGATGCATTAACAATCTTATTAAATACATATAGATGAAAGTCACCTATTAAAAAGTACATTTTCCAGAATGGATCTTTAAAGTTTAGCTTTACATTTCCTAACATCCCTCTGTCTTTCTCTCTCCTGGTGAGAGGAAAGTTAGAAGTAACAAGGGAATTAATTCGTGTCTAAAAATGAATACAAACTAGGTAAATGGCACTAGATAAATGATACTGTTTGTGAATTTCTTTTGAATGCTCTGTATGTTTCTCTAGGACATCTTGGGTCACACAGCCCTCTCTCCTTCCCCATCGGCCTTTCCTGGTATGCCCAACTACACTGTTTCACATAAAGTAGGAAACTGCTTTTCAAATAATTTCAAAACTCAATATATACAAAAACACCCAGAACAGCCTATGTTAACAGCCTGCTTTAACTCACTACAGGGCTCCTGGTTGCATTAGTGCTCTCCTGCTGAGGCAAACTGCACAGACAGCAGCAGTATGAAGTTGATGAAGCCTTGACAGCCAGTTCTCTTTCAGGTCTGCCTCCCCCATACTGGTCCCTTTTAGCCCTATTACAGTATCTTAGACCTATACTTCTGTTTAAAATTTAAGATCAGCATTTACTCCTATTGGTCCTATCCAGAAAGAGGGTGATTTTGAAAGGAGGAGGCCTGATGATTGATGCCAGTGATGCCATGCTTATACAGGAAAACTGCTCCCAGTAGCCTGGCAGGACCATAAACAGGGAAAAGCATTGCAATTCTTGGTATGAGGCAGGTTTCATTTAAGTGAAGAGGAAAACTGAAACTCTAGGTACCTCAAACAGGTAACTCAGCAACAGCTGACTACTGGCTTTACTAAGGCATTATTAGCTCCTTTACAAAAAATTTAAAAAGCACCTACAGTATGATTCTCTTGGCAAGAATTTCTTAAAACTTCCTCTGATGAGCTCAACCCATGAATCTCTGAAAATGCTGCAGAGTATAAAGGTTAGTCATCTCACACTGAAAACCCAGCCTCCTCCCAGGAACTCTGGGATTGTATCCAAAAGGGTGACCCCTCCACACTTCCATCTCTTACACACTCTCTCTCTCTCTCTCTCTCTCTCTCTCTCTCTCTCTCTCTCTCTCTCTCTCTCTCTCTCTCTCTCTCACACACACACACACACACACACACAGGATCTTATACAACTGCCTCCTGCCTATACTACCACTGCCAGACTCTCTGTGTTTTTCCTTCTCCCAGACCTTTGGAAATTACTCTGGTCCAGAGAAATAAACTCTACAGCTTCTATGGAACTACAACCTGAATTACAGCCTCATAAATAAATAAATAATCACCTTCTAAATATAAATATGAGCATAATATACCCTACTTTTAGCTGCTGACCTGATTGATGACTGATTAAATCCTTAAATCATATTATCCTAGGATCATCTCCATGCTTTAGCTTGTAATACATTCATTTTTTTAAGTTTAAGAAACTAAAATTGTTTTAAATAAAAGCCTGTTATCTTTCTTTTTTTATTTTCATTTTTACATTTAAAGCACAGACTCACAATAACTGGACATTAAGAACTGTTAGAATTATAGCACACCAAGAGTGAGAGCCCACTGTTTTGACCAAAATATATATTTACCTTTAAGTATTGTTTTGAGTAGAAACTGTTAAAAAATGTATATGTATACATCTAGTATATAAAAGCATATTTAGATATAAATATGTTGAACAGTAAAACAGTAACTTTAAGAATTTTAATATGGCCCAGCCAGGGTGGCTCAGTGGTTGAACTAGGAAGTCACGGTTCAATTCCCAGTCAGGGCACATGCCTGGGTTATAGGCTCAATCCCCAGTATGAGGTGTGCAGGTGGCAGCTAATCAATGATTCTCTCTCTTCACTGATGTTTTTCTCTCCTGCTCCCTTCCTCTCTGAAATCAATAAAAAATATATTCTAAAAACGAATTCTCCTATGAATGACAGATATATTACTAATATCAAGCTTAATATACCAGAGATTCATTTAGCTGAATATTTAAAAAGTTTAATGGTAGTTATCCAATAATTGATTTAGTATCTTGTAGGCATAAGTGAACTTCCTGAATAACCTGGTTTTTTTTACTGAGAACACAGAAAGTAAGAGTGGAAATCTGTAACCATGATTTTCAAGGATATTTCTTCTTGAACTACAAATAGACAACTCCCTTTTAAGAGAACACAAGGTTCCGTGCAGCCACATTCTCTCTCAATGCATAAATTATTATCTTGAGATTGAGATAGGCATCAGAATATCATTAACTTCTTTATAACATGTCAGTGCTGATAATGTAGCCACTGATGTTACCTAATTTTATCAACTTCAGATTTAAAAATAACATTAGACAACATTATTTTAAAGGTCAGAAATTCACTCAAAGAGAGGAGGCAGCTTGCCCAAACGGATAACTTCAGAGTAACTGAATGCAAATTAAACTTAAATATCCCAGCCCTTAAACCAGAGCTCAGCGCACGCATTCACATTACCTTCAAAGTGACCTGTTACCCCAGGAAGCTGACCCATTAGGTACTGCACAGATTTTATTAAATACAACAGAAGCATAATCTATTTTCAAAAGTCTTCCTCCATAGACAGAGAAGACTCCCAGACAAACTGAAGAATATAGCTTCCCAAACCATCCTCTGTGTTTGAAAAAGAGGCAAGAGGAGAAAAGAAAAACGACTCACCTTTAATCAGAAAGGTAAAATTCATTAAATAGATCCAGAAGTGGAAGTTATTGTAGATGAAGAGAATTTACATTGCACAAAAGCAACTAGCTCTTTCTCAACAGGACAACGTTTGTAACATTCTGAATTATAAAATATTCATAATAACCCTGACATACTGGCTCAGAGAATATAAAATTATGTCAACTGCCACTTTTCCCCCCTGAAATAATGGAATGATGGTCACTCCAATGCCAGTTTAAAAACACACACACACACATACACACACAACACACACACATGCGTGCACACACACACACACATACACACACACACACGAAAAGGGACTTACTGAGCTGTAGAGATAGCCTTCACCATTCATGGCCACATAGAGGCTGGCCTTCACCCCTTGGATGGCCACCACACGCAGGCCCACGGGAATTAGATTGAAGAGAGCTAGAAAGGAAAAAGACAGAGGAAAGGGATCAGTGACCTTTGAATAAATCATCTCACTTGTAAGATAACTCTTTTGGGAATTAAAAGCTATGAACCCAAATGGAGAGGGAAAGGAAGAGGAAGAGGAGAGGGAGAGGGGAAGAGAATGAATGTCTAAGGGTGTGGCCAACTCACCCTTCTTGTCTCTGCACCACCACTATGTGGTTCCAGGCAAACCACATAAACTCATCTGTAATGAAGGCTTTACATTAGAAGATTTCTAAGGCCCCCACCTGGATCTGAGAATTCAAGATCTCCCCTCTGCAAAATGAACAATATTCAAACCAGGTAATATAAGATGTTTGTTTTTTAACAAATAATTTAAACCACATTTTTTTCAATAGTGGAACATGTTCATAGTAAAAATTGCTAATCAAGTATGATCTTTGTAACAAATGCCAGAGTTCTTCCTTTGCTCTCACTACTGTCCTTGTGCTACTGAAATAACTTAAGGAGTACAAGACCTTAAGGTCTCGTTGAGGAAAGAAAGCTAAGACATATGGAATCATCTGATACGGTGTATAATTTATGTCTATAATTAAATGTAATATATGCATTCTATATATATATTCCCTGTGTTACAGAGTTCAGGAAAATGGAAGGTCTGTGTGGAATGAAGTAATTGGGAAATGTCTTACACAGAAGATGGGACCTGAGTTGACACTTAAAGAAAGCACAGCAGTTGAGTGAGCCAGGGACAAAAGAACATTTAGTGGGGCAGTAAATTAGGTGGCTCTGCAGGGTAATGTGTGTGTACAGGAAGGGACTGACAGATTGGAGGATTTATATCATATTGGGAAGAAATGGAAAAGAACACCATGTAGATAAGGTAGGGATAAATAACGGAGACTCTGGCATTCTAATCTTAGAGATCTGGACTTTCCCAATGGGCAACAAGAAGTTGGCATAAAAGGATTCAAGCAGCAAGATTACAAAAATGTGTGAGACTTTCAAACAACATAGTCTTTAAACCCACCACTCAGAAGCTGCATGATGTTGAGTTATTCATTTAACCACTCTGCTTTAGTTTTTCAGTCTATAAAATGGGCATACTAATCCTCACTGCACAAAACTGACAGAACAATCAAATGCATCACCATATTCTTGAAAATGTTTTATAAACAGAGATGTGGTCTCTCTTATTATTATGAGTTATTTGTCATTAATATATAATTTCCAATTGTCAAATAAGGTTAGCATAGGGTCTGATGTAAAAATTCATATATCACTCTAGTAATATTGAATTTATATTCAGAAGGTTATTTAGTATTTTAAAAAATAATGCTTCATATTTGTGCAGCACAATTTTCAAAGTGCTTATAAATCTATTATTGTATTTGACCTGCCACCACAAACACTAAGAAGAGTTCAAGACAGAATGATCATCCTAATTTTTAGAAGGGCAAACAGGTTCAAAGAGATAACCTGGGTAGAACACCATCTGAACAAAGTGTATCTGGCTCTTTAATGAGGTTACCTGTCCAAAATATCCTATTCTCCCCTTCTTCCATTTTGAGTTTAATTTATCCTAATAACTGTTCTTACCCTCTTGCAAAATAATGGATGATTTAGCTATTTCCCTACACAACTTGCAGCTAGCTATGGCTACAGACTCAGTACTAGCCAATAAGATGTAGGCAGAGGGTCTCTGTATGCATGAAGCCTCCTTCCCTAAAGACAACTCATAAATGTCTCTTGCCCTGATCTCAACCCTTTGCCTAGCTGTTGCTTAAACAATGTGGTGGCTGGAACATCCTAGATCATGAGAACAAGGGCTACTTCTAAGGGAGTGGTAGCAGCCGAGATGGATTGGAATTGGATCTCCAAGCAGTTTGTGGAACAGTGGCACAAGTCACACATTCAATGTCCCAGGTCTGCCATTTATGTGGGGAAATAAGTCTGTGCAACACTGAGCTAATCCTAATCCTAATCCTAACTGATAGAGATTGGTAATCCTAACTGATAGAGTTAGCAGGAAATATACAAACTAGTGTAAGATACTTATGCATTGTAAATAATCACACCCACTAGAAAATACCAATTTCAGTGATTATTCTTATGAGGAAAGTAGTAAAATCCAAAATTGTACATAATGTCTTTCCAAGGTAAAGATTTATCAGGGAAAAAGCAGGAACATTGATTCCTTTAGCTGAAACAGAAATAGAAAAGCAACTATGAAGCTTTACCTATCTAATGAGAGTGAGAAAACTACTCAAGCCAGGCAGGGACAAACACTTGAGTGAAAGTTTTATATGAACCACAAGGTGACAATGACTTTAGATACTGTGCTTTGGGAGATGTTTTAACAAGTTCATTTAAAAAGTCAGTTCAAAAACCAACTTGTAATTAGACTTTTTAGTAGTTAAAGCTACAAACTGTTCTCTTTGGGAGGGTCTACATCTGCCTCCTAAAATCTTGAAAAATGGAAAGTGGCTCCCCCTTGCCTACTATTTCTCTTCATTGTAGCACACTGACTCTCACCCAACTGGAGCCTTTCACTACTCAGTGGGAATTCCTCCTAAGTCTCCATTCTTTCTCTTCATCCTCAAAGCCGGGCCCTAGCTCATGTAACTGAGATACACCATTCAAGTACCTTGCATCTACTCCTACCATTCCTTTTCTTATAACCTCAAGCGATGGATCCCCCAATGTCTACAAGATGGATCCAAAGTCTTCACTTTGGTGCTCAAAGCACTTTGCAACCTGGTTCCAACCCAATATTCTATTTTATCACCTGTCACTCATTTCATCCACTCTAACCAGCTTTTAAGAGATTTTTCCATTTGCTAAGTTCCCCCTTGACCTTTAACTAGGCTGATCTTTTTTTATTTTTATTTTATTTTATGCTCTCTTGAAATAAACTATTTTCCCATTTCTAAATTTGGTCAACTCTTTTCATCTTTAAGACCTACCATACTGAAGTGCTTCATGAATCTTATCTACAATTGTTATAAGATGAAGAGGTGTGTTCATAGAATATAAATGCAAAATAAGGCAAAAGAAATGAAATGAATCAAATAGTTAAAATATTTAGTATTTCTCCAGATATTATAATATAATCTTTGTAATAGCTTTCAGCTTTTAAAATGTAGTTATTGTGATTTATTTCTTACCCTATTCAGTTTTGTACCAAACTTTCATTCCACCATACTATATTTATTTTTCAAAAAGGATCTCCCAAAGTATACAAATTTTAGGATCCATAACACTTAAGTCTATCTCAGAATTAAATATAAGTGAAGGGAAAGAATGAAAGTAACAAATGGGAAAGAAAAAACTAAAGATATTATATTACCTGAATGTCTACTTTTGTTTTCAGGCATCGTGCCAGGCATTCTGATATGCAAAATGTCATTTTTAAAATATACTAGATATATGACTACTTCACTTTATTTCAGAGATAAAATATTATCTTATATTTTGTGTACAAAGTGGATAAATAAAGGGATTGAAAAGTGTCATCTTAAACTTTGGTATAAAATTCCATGGCCTTAATTTAACTCTCATATAGAATTTTGTAAATATTTTGATAATGCCCCTGATTTATCATTTATCATTATTGAGCACTTACTATATGCCACATGTCATACTTAGGCAATGGAAAAAGATGTATCCAACATATGTGGTCTGTGAGGAATTGCTTCCATTTATAAATCTTTCTGAGACTCCTACTATCCTGTGGGTAAGTGAAGGCCCTAGAAACTTGTACTATTATCCTCATTGCCTTGCATAGCAGCTTGGTCATAGAAGTCACTACTCAATATTTGACAAATAAATAATGAATCAGCAGTGGTTTCTCTTTAAGCTTTCTTATTTACAGCTTTTCTAGGTCACATTTCCATAATTAAGCATTAAAGGAAAAATAAAACTGAAGAGAACATTTTCCACACATAGTATAAATTCAAATGTGGAATTTAAAGGGAAAGCAGAACCCTATATGATACTAAGTTTGAGAGGATATGAACATAGGATGTATGGGGCCAGTGTGTGTGTGTGTGTGTGTGTGTGTGTGTGTGTGTGTAAGGGGATTCAGGTTTGTGGGAATGAAAAGGAAGGGAAAAGTTTGGGGAATCTGTTACACCTAAGATATTAGACATCTTGTACAATTATATTGAACCAGGAAAAAAAGTATTTTGTAAAAATGCTATGTTATAATTCAACTTTATTTCTACCTGCCTACCATTATCCACAAAAGTTATTCCAGTGGCAATATGGTGACAATCCAAAGAACATCAGAAAGTACCTAATGCGACAACCAATAAAGATGCAAAGAAGGAAAAGAAGGAGAAAAAAAGTTCATTCCAACTGGTAAAACCTTCTTTTCAACAGGTAAATCCAGCATCTTTCTAAGAAAATTCTAAGGGCAGATTCCTTATTGTTTGTAATAATGAAGCACTATAAAAGTGCAGTTGTATTATAAAATTCCGGGTTGAATTTGCTGAATAGGCAATGAAAAAATGCATTTTATGACCCACTAAAAACACAAGTAAATTTATAGTGGAAAATACTGAGAGAAAATGAAACTATTGGGAGTTAAAATCTATGCACTCCCAATAAAAGATCATCTTGAAAATTCAGTATAATTTTCCTTACTTCAAAATGGTCTCAATAAAGATATTTCATTAGAGTGTAAATGATATTATATCCTAAAGTTGATACCATATTGTTTTCCCCTTTAATCCTATAGTCTCTATCAAAACCATTTATAACTATAATATTTATAATAATATGCATAGTCTACTCAAATTATTTTTCATTAGTCATGAAAATAATATTTATTTTTGTCAGTTATTTATCATTTACTAAAGTAATTTTTTTTCTCCCTCTCTGCTTTCAGTAGGAAAATGATCTTAAAGAACAGTCAACAATTGGGAGATAGTCTGAGCTATGAAATCCAATATGAAAGTAGTTATACAAATTATGGCACAAAATATTAAATTTTTTAAAGCTGGAAGCTATCA